CTGTCATCTCTATTCTAGTCCTGTTTGACATCTCTTCTCTGCCCTAAGTGATCAGTTGCTTAGGTCATTAATCTATAACCCGTTTTGGTCATTAATCTTTGATGGGTGTGATGCATTTGCCTAGCTGAAGAGTCTGATCCTCATTAATATTCACCATTTCGATTATACAGAAATTGCTTCTTCTTCAATTTTTTCCCGAGTGTCTTAGCTGAAGGGGGACTATGTAGTTTTTACAAGTGATGACATGCTAAAATGGATTTTAAGTTTGAAGTTATATATTGTACCCAATTAATCAAGTTTGCAACTCTGTAACTCTGTAATTTGTTTTCACAATTTTATTCCCAACTTCTAATAAACGTATTTATAATGTTCAAATCATACATTATACCCAATCAATTAAGTTGTCAAGCAACTTAGATACCCAGTTTTGTAACTAGCTCGAGACAAATTTGCCACTGATTGTTAAAATTTTGGATGGAAGAACCATTGAATTTTTAAAAAAGTTATTATTCTAGGACAACGTTCCAGTAATTTGTAATTCAAACACCAGATTTTGCAACTGTCTTATGAATAATTTGCAACTTCTTTTCAAAATTTTGGGTGGAAGAATTATTGAATTCTTAAAGTTATTAATGTAGGATAATGCTCCAGTAATTTGCATTTGAGACACCAGATTTTACAACTTTCTTACAAATAATTTGCACCTCCTCCTTAAAATTTTGGGTGGAAGAGCTATTGAATTCTTGAACTTGCAAAGCTACCAAATTATTTTAGGACATGGTTCCAGTAATTTGCAACTAACATACTAGATTTTGCAATTTCATTACAAATAAATTACAACTCCTTCTCAAAATTTTAGGTAGAATAACTTTTAAATTCTTGAACTTACAAAGCTATCAAATTATTTTAGGATAACGCTCCAGTAATTTGCAACTGACATACCAAATTTTGCAACTTTATTACAAATAATTTGCAACTCCTTCTCGAAATTTTGAGTGGAATAACTTTGAATTCTTGAACTTGCAAAGCTACCAAATTATTTTAGGACATGGCTCCAATAATTTGCAATTAACATACTAAATTTTGCAACTTCCTTACGAATAATTTGCAACTCATTCTCAAAATTTTGGGTGGAATAACTTTTGAATTCTTAAACTTGGAAAGCTACCAAATTATTTTAGGACATGGCTCCAGTAATTTGCAATTGACATACCAAATTTTGTAACTGCCTTACAAATAATTTGCAACCTCTGTTCGAAATTTTAAGACAACACACTTTTAGTGATTACAGAAGATATGAACTGTACATATAAGTTACATGTATTAATTCATCTAATGCATCTGCACATATCAGTTGTCCACATACACAAAAGCATGAACTTGGATTTATAAAAGAGGGGTTGCTATGTACCAAAAAAATCCCTCAATACTACCAATATATATGTATAAAAACCTATATATATTAACCAAATCTAACTTGATCTAAAACTACCTATATATGTATATCACCCAAATCCAAGTTCATGTGGTAACCCATTTACAATAACATCAACTTGGATTTAGATTTTTACACCTCTTTCGTGTACGACCTACTTCATGACAATGAGAACAATGATAAACCTTCTTCTGCTGATATTAAGACTCAATCCTCACATGACAAGGTCTGCCAGCTGATCGAGATGTTCTAGGAGGTAGCAAAAAGGTTTGGCTTATGAGCTTAGATACTGTCAATGTATTTAGCTTTGACATCTCATGGGTCTCAACATGATGCATAGTGCCATTGTATATTTTCTCCTATGAACTACGAAGATAACATGCATAGTGCAATACTATACTTGTAGATTGCTTATCTACAATTATCAGTACTCGCAAAAATCTGCCCAAGTCCTACTAGCAAGCCCAAGTCCTACTAGTAAATCCTTCCACTTTGTTGCATTAGCTCAGGCATGGTGTTGGAATACTTTGTATTGCACATGGTAGAACTTCAAGATCTTGTGTAGCATGTGAATTCTCAACTGAACATCCTGCTTTGCATTTTCATTCAAATCATGTTTACTACTACCATCCATATTCATATTAGCATAATATTAATTATGCAACTATTAAAAAAACTTACCCATCAATTGAATCTCTTATTGCCTTTGTACTTTGCTGTGTCTTCCCAATGATGTACACATGAGAAAAATTATCATTCAATTTCATTAATTGATTTATTCCTTCATCATCTTTAAGGTCTAAAAGAGCATTGCAATCAAACTTCACTATGTACTTCAACTCTATTCCATTTAAATCACAATTTAAGCATAATGAAATCAATCTAACAAGTCCTTCAACAGACATTCCTTCTCTAATCATTCTTCCATTACAACTCCCCCTATCATAATGCATTATCCCATGTATATCTTTTACAATATCTCCACCAAAATGAAAATAACAAAAATTTCTTTTAAACAACTACTTTCCATCGTACCCAATAATATCAACCTACAAGAAACAAAATAAAATGTAATAATATATCATTTAGAAACAAGTTACTTTTGACATAAGTGATTTTCACATCAGTTAAACAGTGACAGCGTTCCATCTTAAAATATGGATACTCGATAGTAATTTCTTACACTTTCAGTTGCAAAATGTTAAATCTTCATGCCAAATATTTAGAAACATGAAATAAAAAAAATATTTCATGTTCAGTTGCAGAAAATCATTCCATCTTTTTCCTTACGAAAGCCATTTTGCAAGAAATCAGACCTTCATGGAGTAAACCTTTTTGTTCAGATGCAAGGATTTGCAAAAAAAAAAATTGACGAAGAAGCAATTTCTGCATAATCGAAATGGTGAATGTTGATGAGGATCAGACTCTTCAGCTAGGCAAATGCATCACATCCATCAAAGATTAATGACCAAAATGGATTACAGATTAATGACCTAAGCAACTGATCACTTAGGGCAAAGAAGAGACGTCAAACAGGACTAGAATAGAGATGATAGACAAATTTATTAGACAGCTCAGGAAAGAGACGACAGAGAGCTTTACTCACTTGCAATGAGACAGGGAAGAGATGATGAACAGGATAGGGAAGGAAGAGACAACGAACAGGGCAGGGAAGAGTAGATAAGGAGAAACTTCAAATTTTCATCAGCCAAATGAGGGTATTTTGGTCATTTCTCATTATATTGAAATGCTACTCAAGGACCTAGGGACTTAACTGACCTTTCAGAATGTCTTGGGACTTACCTTAAATAAAATTGGTCCTTTGGGAACTAATTGTCATTGTCCCTAAAAAATATTGATTGTTTTAGGTCCTTATGTATAATTTCCCTAAAAAAAATTGCAAGCTATTATTTCCTTGTTTATATATATATATATATATATATAGTTTTATTATTTTGACAACAATAAAATCTAATTTTTATTTTTATTATTGCATATTTGATATTATTATTAAAATGATTAAAATTAATAAGAATTAAACTAAACTATATACTTCAATCTTGTGTTTCAAACATTTTTCATGTATATAAATAAAAATAGTTAATTTTTTTATTTGTTTAAAAACAATATAATATTTCAAGGATACCCTTATTAATTGAAAGGGATATCATCATATCTTGTTCAAGTTACAAGAAAACTATTAAAATTATAACAATAAAAATGGAGTTTCACTTGATATTCACTAAGCACATTGTGATTTGGACAGCTTTTATTTTTGAAATCCGCCTTATATAAAGAATAGATGGAATATATAATTAGGACCCGAAATAATAAATTAAGGACAGTTTAAGTTGTCAACAATTAAAAAAAAGAGAGTTATAAATATTAATTTAAATAATTACAAACAAAAATCTCAAATATAATTTTAAAATTATATTTGAAACTTAAATATTTTATCTGCAATTAAATCTTGGGGGAATGAAAGATAAATTCCTCTAAAATAAAAAAAATAACAATTTCATCCCTTAAAATGTAATAATAATAGTGAGATTTCAAAAAATTTATTTAAAATTAATTTTTGTGTAAAATTACTTTAGTACTTCTATGTAACTAATTTTATATAATTCATAAGTTTGATATAAATATTTACAAATTAATTTCACTAATGACTAAAACAATTGAGGAAATCACAATTATTTATCAATAATTTTCTTCAATAAGCAAGTTCTAATTAATTTTCTATAGTTCACAACTTTAATATAAATATTCACAAGTTTAATTTAGAAATAACTAAATTGATTTAAAAAATTATAACTTTATATTAACAACGTTTAACTAATTTTATATCATTTACAAATTTAACATAAATATTTGCAAGCTTAATTTTATTAATAACTAAAATAATTTAAAAAACTACAACTTTCTAAATCATAGAAGATATTAAAGTAATTTCATATAAAAATTTACTATTAAAAAAATTCTTTAAGACTTCACTATCATCATCACATTTCATAAAATTAAATTATTATTAGCCTATCTTAGAAGCATATATACTTGTCATTCTCATTTAAAACTTCTAAATTTATATTTGTTTTGTCTGCATCGATATGAAACCTAACTATTATTAATTTAAAATTTTGGGAATACCAACATTCTCCATTTTTTCCTATTAGAAGTTATCAAATCTGACCTGCAATTATCATTGTAACTGGCGAGAACATCCGGATACTTAGATGAAGAGACTGAGTTTCATCCCAACATGTGCCCACTCGAAAGTCGACCTCAGGAATCATGTCTCCATAAGGTTATCAAAGATTGACCAACTAATTTATCCTAGGATTTAAATCTTTTGAAGTTGAGATTGATGAATTTGTATGAAATTTTCCTTTTCAAGAAAGGGGACTAAAATTTTATATTTTACAAAAAATAATTAAATAAGTAAAAGTACTAACAAAGAACTTCACATAAATTCACCAATCCTCCTAAATTTAAAGGATTTAAATCCTATATCATGCTAAGCAGGGTTCGGTGACCTGATGTAAATTAATCAAAGAAAAGACTGATGAGAATTCAAGAGCCAATGATCTCAACAAAAATTGCAGTAAGTACCATGATTCTCAACAGAATAACAAAGCAAGGTCGTCCATCCTGCTTTCAACTCAAGGGATTATTGAGACTAAGCAATGTTAGCTGCTAGGTTCTCAGCCTTTGTTAAAAGAATAACAAAAATTGGCTTCCAGAACGCCCCATGTTGCTTACAATTTATCAATCAGCAGTGCAAATCCAGGGAATGTTACCACACCCAAAACTGGTTATTCTCAGACATAGTAACCAGTGAAAGTGAATCCCCTTCCTACAATCTCACCGGCACAAAACCATGCAAAGCACTCCAGGCCAAACAAAGCCGCAATCCCAGCATCTTCTACCCTTAGTTCTTGCCTGCTCTTCCATAAATTCTTGACAAAATCAAGCTCCTTCCAGAAAGACTCAGTTCGACCAGGAATGCTGAAAAATATTGAAATATGTTATGTACGCTAAAATTATAATAGCATAGAACTGACTGTATTTGGTATGGTATGGAAAACCACTAGCCTGTCATTGGCAATGGCTCATGATATTGAAGGCCAGACAAAGGGATTTTAAAGTTCACTTTATATCAATTCATGAATTCAATAACGGTAGTAGTGGCAGCACAAGTTAATTGTAATGCAACATGCAAACTTGATCTGAAGATAATGTTGAGAAACAAATAGATATTGACACATCTAAATAGAATGGGTGTAATCACTACGCAAGCGACAACCACAGAACTTAAAAGACAAATTAAATGCAGGCTTCAGTATAATAGAAACATTGAGAGACAGAGAGAATGAGATAATATCTAGGAAGTCAAACTCAGTCACACACTGAGAGAGGGCAACAGCTATGGAGAATGACTAGCATATTTTAGTTTACAGACTAGACTTCCCTTGGGTTACAAATCTACTCTGAACCCATTAGAGACTTAGTTTCCCTCCAGTTTAGCGATGATATATAACCCACATATCGTGTTGTTTTGGTGACATATTTTGTAATGTATTTGGGTCTTTGACACCTTTAAGTTACTATGATGATGGTAAACCAACCGGCACTATTCAGTCTTACTTAAAGGTGAATAAACTGTTTTCATTTCTTATCATATACAGCAATCCTTAGTATCATGAACTATGTCAAAACTTGACAAATATGATATACAATGACTATCAAATGTCTTAAATGAATATGTTTTCCACTTTTTTTTTTTCCACTTCTTCTTAACATCAAAATTGATAAATTGCTTCATGAAAGTTCACACGGAGGTACTAATTAGAAAACCACAATGCAGTTTCAACTCCAGCAGCACTTAGTTGACACAAGAAAACAATACTCTTTCAATAATTGTATTTGTATTCCATTTCTACATTTTAGGACAAAAATTTGGTCAATGATGATAAATAAAACGTATGAAATGGTAGTTTGCAGTAAACATTAGCAGAACCTTCATCATAGGGTTTGGAAACTTCCGCAAGAAGCTATGCAGAATAGTGAACAAGCATGTACCATAATGCTATACGTTCAGTTACAAGCACTTACCATAACAAACAAAATTGATTAGTATGTTTATGTTAGCCATATAAAGGAGTTGCCAAATGGAACCAATGAAATTCTATTAATGGAAGCAAACATCAAACACTGGTAATCCATTTCTATTTAGGTCATATTTCACTGAACCTCTCAAGATTGATTCCCCCCCCCCCCAAAAAAAAAAAAAAAAACATGCCTTAATGCTGATTTCTAACTGCTAAGGAAAACAATCAATGATTCCCTCACCATATGACAAAACACTGGCAAACCAATTAGTGTTCTACTAACTAGAAAATAAGTTTTACCATAAGACTATCTGTTTTCCCCTTCTTCCATTTAGTTTTAGTGTTACATGAGTATATATAGTGGATAAAAATTAGCCTCCTCTCCTCCTAGGCTTCCTTGATCGTTTTCAAAGAGGAAGGTTGGTACCATAGACAATGTGCAACATCCAAGACTCTGAGAATGCTACTAGTAAACAACATTAAAACGTAAAAGATTATATTTGGCCACCTTAAATGTAAAGGATCTTTTGGTGAACCCTTCCAAAATCAACACTATCACATTTATTGAAAAAACAAAAAGAAGAAAAAAGGATTGAAGAAAATATAACCTAGCAAGACGAGTGTAAAACAGCTGCTTTGCCAGCAACTGGCATTTCTCCACTGTTGGGGGCTCCTGAATGTATTCTTTGTTCTGCTCCAACAACTGCTTGTAGTAAGAATTTCCGTGCTTGGCTACAAATTGTGATGCTTGACAAGCTTTGGATTGCAACTGCTGCAACTTAGACGCCATTAACCCTACACGTTACAAGCACTCTCTATAAAATAAGGAGTTAAGGACGAAAATGGGATAAGCATCAATAGAACAAAATAGCATTCTTCTTCCAAATAAATCCATCTATTATATTTAAATTTATCGGTGACCACAAACATCTATCAAATCTCATTTCTGCTTCTCGCACAGAAACATTGATTTGAGTAAAGAAGTAAAATGAAAAACGATCTGCGATTCATATAACATGTAAGGAGAATATGTCACTTGAAATGGATTTATAGGCCTGTCAAGTACTGTCATATGCGGACCTATATCATCTGCCGCCACTGAACTCTTTGAAATATGCATGGTTGATATAATACCCTTTTCATTTTCGTTTCAGATGCTTTGATGCAACTCGAGCCAAGTCATTCACAAGATCATACAACACAACTGCCTTGAGATTTTCTAAATTGATGATAATACAAAGAGATTAATAACGAGAATGCCAATACACATCAAATTTAACATTACAAAACCACACAACCGAAAGCATACAAGTAGCTAGCGATCAAAATGAAGAGGGCAGAAGTATAATAGCCCATTACACACCATTCAAGCAAAACCTAGTTAAAAAAAAAAACAAAGAAAGAAAGAAATTAAACTCAATCTGTAAATATCCCCAAATTCAAAAGTGTCAATATTCAAACGATTACACAACCATATTCAAAGCCACACTAAAATGAAAAATTTAAAACAAAGCAAGAACAAAAACGCAGGAACAGATGACGCGAGGAACAAATTCAATCTAGATTCAAAGCCTGATTGGACAAATCAATCTCACCGGATTTTGGGTAGAGTTCGAACCTTCCTCACTACTTGCCCGAGAACAACCACGAAGGGCTGACAATGGTGGACGGCGTCCGACGGAGAGCGGAGTGCTGGTTCGTCGACGAAGAAAAATGGTTCCCCCACTGTTTTGTTGCGGGTTTTGATTAAGTAGATTTAGCCCTAAGAAACTTCGCGTCCGCGTGTGATGAGGACTCAGAGGAATCACGACCCTCCATTTATTTAGGGCCAAATCAGTCTAAAGTCTCGTGAAAATACTTAAAATACATTAAGATTTTATGAATTTAAAAAATAACTGTCAACTCTTTAGGTACATAAGGGTGAATAAGTCTGAAAGTAAAATTATCTATTTGCTCTCTATTTGAAACACACGAAAATCAGTACGATTCCCACTAACCCATGAAACTGAAAAGGGTTCTATCTTCCTCATTTTACCGTGCTCCAGTGCTCATCACCGACCGCTGTTCTTGCAGTCACATTCCATCAAAGAAGACCGTCGTGTCTCAGAGAGTTGAAAACTTGAAGGAGTAAACAACGAAAGTAGCTCGCTCCTGCTTCAACGACTTAGATTTGCCTTAATCGCCATTATCAAACTGTCTCTACCATCCTCTCCCGCTGTCTCGCCACCACAGGTTCAACTGCCATTGATTCTGTTTTCTTCTCTCATTATTCCTTTCTTTGTTCTTTTTTTTTTTACTCGTATCTCGGTTGTGACTGTAATTTTTTGCATATCTCTATTTTTGCACATCACTGTAATTCTCCGTCTCTATTTTTTTGCTCGAATCTTGATTTTCTTCTCACCTAATTTTTTGCATGTGTGAAGTAATCTCCACATTAAGTTAAAAAAATGCCAGTCCCAATCTCCACATTACAGAGCCTTCTCTATCATCTCCTTGCCAAATCCTCTTCACCATTACAATTAGAGGGAAATTTCTGTCACAGAGTCATATAATCCTTCACTTCCTACTCCATTAAAGGATGAGCCAAATAGGAGCCTACTTGCCAAACTGTCACCATTTGAGTTTTTTTTCCCACTCCAACTTTGAAATGGTCTAACAAGCCATTTTCAATACAAGTTGAACTTTCTCCTCCTTATATTTTTGGCTAGCATCCTTTGAATCAAATGCGGTTGAAGATTATTGTATTTTTACATTTTAAAGAGGTTTGTGTTACTGTCACTCTCACTTAGGCATGACAAGCAATTATTAAAATTAGAAGTGCTGCCTTGACTGGATATACATTCACCTCACATTGAACTTTTTGTATAGATGTCTTTTAGACACACCTAAAGTTAGTAGATTACTGGATATACATGCAACCTAAAGAAGATCTATTGTTAATTTGCTTAAGGATACTGGTATAATTATTTGTAAATAGAAAGAAGAGAGGAGATAATGATCAGCTGTATAATGACTAAGGTGATGTGAGTAGTTTTTGAAATTAGTGCTTAAAGTTTCCATCTTAAAGGACGACAAATGGTCAAGTATATTTCTGATATGTTACAAAAGTGTAGCTGTGCATAAGATTTTTGTAATTACTTAAGGCACCTATTTGCATGTTTTAACTTTCAACTACTCCTCTTGCGTTTTATATTTTTATTCTGGTATGTTTAGCTTTCAATTCTACTTAAAAATCTGTAATTTTAAATATGTACAAATTTCTCTATTGACGACAACTGCTTTCTTTGTTGACAATATCCATATGCTATATTGACCAAAATCATTTATTCCATGAATGACAACTAATTACTTCAATGACTACAACCATAAACTCCATTAACAACAATAATATGCTCTATTGACTAGTGAACCATCATGACTAGTGAACCATTTGTCTTTGTGACTTGTGTTTTTTTCTTATTAATAAACAATGCCAGTGTAGAAATCTCTGAGTTAGAACTTAGTAATGACTAGTATGCATATATCTCTTCTCAACATATCTAATTGAACTTTTCTATTTGTTAATAAAGGAAGATGGAAGATAAAGTAAAGACAACAATGAAGAGATATACCATACCATTTCATACACATTACTCTCCTAGCCAATTTGGTGAAGTAGCAAAGTATGTTAAGAAAAATGAGAAATTACAGAAAAGGGTTAAGAAGCTAGGATTCCATAGATTTCTTGATGTGTCTTGTAAAAAAAAATTCAAAGAGATATTTGTGGAGAGTTGATGCGTGCCTTTGACCCCCCAACTCGTGAAATATGCATAAGGGGGAAAATCAAGAAATGAAGGCTAAGGATGTGAATGACTTAATAGGCTTACGTATTAAGGGTAAGTAGATTACTGGCGATGTCAATGTGATGATATAGCTTTCAAGAATTTGAGAAATACTTACTATAAAATGCTTTATAAGGAAATAACTGAAATGATTATATCTAGAAAGAAGGTAGCTAAATTTGAGTTACTTTTTGTAATGTTTGTGTTGAAAACCTTGATATTGCTAACCGCAAGTCTTGAGGTTAGTGATTGTATATTGAAGGTTGTTTATGAGACATAAAAGAAACCAAGCGCATATGATTGGGCTACGTTCATTTTTAATGAACTTTGCAAGGAGGTAGAAGACTACAAGAAACAATTAAGCAAAGGGAAGGGAAGGACAAGGAAGAACATTAGTGGATGTATCTACTTTCTAATGGTAAGTGTGTGTTAAATTTACATTAATCCAAAGTGATAGCCTTTCAAAGTTTTTCATGTATAATTTTTATATTTATACTGATCTATCAAGGTTTTAGGTATGGGGCTTCTAAAAATTTTTAGTTGGCCAAGGTTGTCCAAAAGCCGTAGATGCTCTGAAATATTGGGACGATGATAAAGTGAATGCAAGAGTAAAGTTAGAGAAAAAGAGCAATCGAGGCATCTTTCATGATCCAACTACTGTACATGGTAGTTCATCTACCAAGGTGTATCAAGAATCAGCATTTGTTTACCCAATATGTATAAAATGGAGTACAATGGATAGATATATATGGTCTTGTTTATGCATTGAATCAAAAATTGTCTTGCAGGAAGTAAGGAGGCTATACAGAAAAGTGCTGTCGTTTGTGTCTGACATTAAAGAGAAGCTAATGAGCTTACAATTAATGCTGTTTAGACAAGGCTCAAGAGAGGAAGAAGGTGAAAAATCACAAAGGGAAGATGATGATGATGAAGAGACAGATTTTGAGGGAAAGAATGAAGATGAAAAAATAAAAGAGAAAGGAGATAAAGAACTTGTTGATGAGGGGACAGCTTCAGAGGCAAAAAATGAAGATGACAAATTTGAAGAGGAAGAATATAACTAAGAAAGAGCTAAACGGAAAGGTTCTGAGGAGGGAAATGGAGATGAACAATAAAAAAAAGGAAGAGAATGAAAAAGAAAAATTAAAAGGGGAAGAAGATAAAGAAAAAGATGATGAACGGTAAGGTTCTCCTAAAGAAAAGGGCGACAATGACAATTCAAAAGAGGAAGAAGACAAGGAGGCAAGTGTAGAAGGGAAAGATTCTGACGAGGATGAGGAAAGGAGAGGAGAAGAACAATCAAGTAAACATCCTAGAAGATCAAAAAGAGAGAAAAGACCTGCTGTGAAATCTCTATGGGTTAGAAATAATGTTAGAAAGAAGAGAAAAATGGATGAGAAGGAGTGATTATTTCAAATATGCACAACACCATGTGAGGAAGATGAGGGAGACAAATAAGTCCCTATATTGTACCTAAAAACTCACTGAATAAAATATCAGTGACAAACTATTTATTTTTTCCTTCTTCTTTAACAGTATCATTGTAGATTTGTATGGCTACTACTTGACTCATGTAGAGCTATAATGTTTTAGTGAAAAGAGATAGATTAGTGATAAGATGATGTCAATGGTTGCCCAAACTTTGATAAGTGATCAAAAGGAAAATGAAGGGAAAGTTTGGAGACATATCTTTGGTTCTGAGTTCATGCTAAAAATGATTAGCAACCCTTTAAAATGGATAGTTGATGACAACAAGGGAGAAATCTTTCCTGAGTTTATTAGATATAATATTGCTAATTGTGCTTTCATTTTTGGCCCAACTCTTTTCCATAGTCACTGGTTTTACTATGTCTTTGAGATTAAGAGCAAGAACTTCTATGTGTTAGATTCATTGGTCAGCAACAGGGAGTATTTCTAAAGACAGCAGGAAGAGGAAGAATAAGAGAATGTTGAGGAGAAGGACAAGGGAAAAGAGGAGAAGGACAAGGGAAAGGAGGACAATTAGATCCTAAAAAAATGATGGCAAGAGGATGTGTATGTCTATACTTGTCACTCAACATTACTAACATCTATATTTGTCATTGTCTTATTGCCTAGTTGTAAATTAACATTCCTAACATTACAAGTCTTGGGTTTGCAAAGGAATTGCTTTCACTATCTACTTCGTGCAGTCAAGCCACAATTGTTTGAGGATGACGTTAACACGGACATTATATGGGTTAAAGTTCATGTGCAAACTGATACGTGAGTTTCTTTTATGTTTATATATCATTAAGCTTATATTTACATATGGAAAATGAATTTTACATTATATTTTTTATTTTATTTTTAGCCATACTTGTGGGGTGCACGTTATGACATGGTTATAATCGTGGGACAACACTACAGACAAAAAGGGGTATATGATGCCAACATACTACCATGTATGCATTCTTCGCTTTACATTTTCACTCTTTTATGTACTACATATTTGTTGTTGTCCCTTATAAGACTTGTGGTGTAGGATGACCTCTATAAGAAGAAGGTAGAACTTTTATGGTAGCTATTGAGTCATTGTAATAATGTGAAGGAGCCCAAAGCCATGTCCTTGTTAGAGGGATCACAAGCAACGAGGAAGAGGAAATAAAGGATTTTTTATAGAACTTTAGAATCTAATTTTATTAATAATCATATCCTTTTGTATAGTTAGTCCATTTTGTGTAGTTAACTTGGATAATGCTGTTTATGAATGTTGAATACAAGTTTGTAAATATGGCTAACAGTTTATTTTATTAATTGAATGTCAACAAGTGGTTATCACTTTATTGACAAGTGTGTATAAGTATATTGACAAGGTAATAATTCACCATTGACAAGTGCTAAGGCACTAGGTGCTGTCATTCCCTTCGAAAATCAACCAGTTAAAAGAATTCGTTGACTACTTTGCATTGACGATTGACGAGTAGTAATAACTATATTGACA